GGTAGCTCTATTTTTAATTTTTTGAGGAACCTCCACACTGTTTTCCAAAGTGGCTGTACCAACTTGCATTCCTACCAACAGTGTAAGAGGGTTCCCCTTTCTCCACAACCGCTCCAACATTTGTTGGATCTCTTACTTTAAATTTTTATTTATAAATAGGTTTATTTTTGTATTATGTTAATAGGTCTTATTTATTAAAATTACCGTGAAGACCGTGCATTATACTGGAAAGAGCACAGCTTACAGGTTCACAAGATTCTACTTCTGACATGGAACTAGTTTTGGAACCTTGGACAAAGTACTCCCTGAGACTGAATTTCCTCATTTCACAAATAAATGACAGGGGTGCCTGGGTGGCTCAGTCAGTTAAGCGTGTGCCTTCAGCTCAGGTCATGATCCGGGGTCCTGGGATCGTGCCCTGCATCGGGCTCCCTGCTCAGCGGGAGCCTGCTGCTCCCCCTGCTTGTACTCTCTCTCTGTGTGTCAAATAAATAAATCAAATCTTAAAAATAAATAAATCATAATAAAACTCCTTTTTACTTTTCTCTCAAAGGACTCTTGTGAAGATTAATCCTGATAATGTATGTGAAACACTTTGCATTTGTACAGATTGATGGTGATGTTTGTTATTTAAATTACATAATTTTAAAGAAATCAGCATCTATGTATTCCCCTCAGAATATCTCTTATTATATTCTAGGCCTTTAATGATTGACCCACAGGGTCAAGCCAATAAGTGGATCAAAAACTCTGAAAGAGAAAATCAGCTTAGTGTTATTAAGCTATCAGATTCAGACTATATGAGAACATTGGAAAACTGTATTCAGTTCGGAACTCCACTTCTATTAGAAAACGTTGGTGAAGAACTGGACCCATCTTTGGAGCCTTTACTACTTAGACAAACTTTTAAGCAAGGTACAAGTTAATTAGTATTAGTTGGTAGCACCGAAAGATGGTTCAGTGGTCTTTGAGGCAAGAAAGCTACTACATAAATTTACGTATAATGTTAATAACTCAGAACTTCTGTGTCATTGTTATGTGTGAAAGGAAATTTGCAACAAGTATCAGGAATGAATATTGGTCAGATAATCTAAAATAAATATCTTGCCCTCTGTTCATTATGTTAACCACTGTTACTAGACTGTTATTCAGTAGAGAACATAAAGAAGTTAAGCCTGAAATCCCTTTGTCTTGTGACCACGGAGCTCACAAAGTCCATTATGAAGTTTATGTGGACTAGAGTTGACTTTAGGTAAACATTGCCCACCTTAAATCTTTCTGCTTATAAAAATTTTTATCTCTGCCAAACTCTAGTACTTTTTTTTTCTTTGCTTGGCTTTTAGTTTTTATTTAAATTCTAGTTAACATATAATGTAATATTGGGTTCAGGAGTAGAACCCAATGACTGACTCATCACTTATATATAACCCCCAGTGCTCATTACAACAAGTGCCCTCCTTAATACCCATCACCCATTTAGCCCATCCCTGGCCCACCTTCCCTCCAGCAACCCCCAGTTCATACTCTATAATTAAGAGTCTCTTATGGTTTGCCTCCCTCTCTTTTTCTCCCCTTTCCCTTATGTTCATCTGTTATGCTTCTTAAATTCTACATATGAGTGAAAACATATGGTATTTGTCTTTCCCTGATTGACTTATTTGCTTAGCATAATACACTCTAGCTCCATCCACATCATTGCAAATGGTAAGATTTTTGAGGGTTCAGTAGTATTCCATTGTGTATATATACCACATCTTCTTTATCCATTCATCAGTTGATGGACATTTGGGTTCTTTCCATAATAAACTCTAGTACTTTTAAGAGCTTCAGTCATATACAAATAATCTTGAAATCATGACTGAAAATTGATAGAGGAGGTAAGATCAAAAGGAATCTTAATGTAGAAGGCTCCATGACAACCAGAGAAAATGTCTTATGCCACCCCAGAACGAATGAGTCCTGCTGTATAATTGTTTATTTGCCTCTATGACTTTGTCACATCTCTATTCTATTTTAAATTACTTTAGGACCCTTTACTTTGTAACCTAGGAACAACCTTAACAGAGGGAGGGGCTATACAACTTTGGCTTACTTATCATGCATTTCTTTTCTAAAATATAGGTGGCATTGATTGCATCAGACTTGGTGAGGTCATTATTGAGTATTCCTTTGATTTCAAGTTTTATATCACCACAAAACTGAGAAATCCACACTATATGCCAGAACTGGCTACAAAGGTGTCTTTACTCAATTTCATGATAACTCCAGAAGGTCTTGAAGATCAGTTACTAGGTATTGTTGTTGCAAAGGAGAGGTATGTATTTTCTTATATGCCTCCAGATGGTCTAGAGGGGAAAATTTGTAGGCCATTAATACTTTTGTTATGTGATTATTTCAAAACCTTGTCAAATTTTACATTTTGTTATTATAAATTAAGTATGTAATCCTTTAAAATAGCCATCCTTGGGGTGCCTAGGTGGCTCAGTTGGTTAAGCATCCAACTCTTGATTTTGGCTCAGGTCATGACATCAGGGTCATGAGATCAAGCCCCACTTCAGACTCTGTGCTGAGTGTGGAGTCTGCTTAAGATTCTCTCTCTCCCTCTCCTTCTGCCCCTCCCCTCTACTCGCGTGCACACTCTCTATCTTAAAAAAAAAAAAAGTAAAATTGCCATTCTATAGCAAGTAAGTTATAAGTCAACCATGCTATACTGGGCTCTTAGCATGAGTAGCAGGATTCAGGTGACATGCCATGACTTCTGACTTGTATCTGATTGTTTGAGCCAAAAAAAGTTCACCCAGAAGAATATATGCTGTGGACAAAATCAGAAATATGTTCAAAGATTTAAATGCAGGATGTCACTGAAATAATGAAATATTTGAATAATATAGTGAAACAATGAAATAAGAATGAGTGATGAAATACTTAGATGAGAATGAAAAAGCAGGATACAAAACTATACATGGTATGGGCAATATTTTGTAAAAAAAAATAGTTACTGTATGAATGGATATATATATTTATTATATTAATATATATTAAAAAGTTTGAGAGGGAATATGCCAGAATGTTAACAGTGATCATCTCTGAGGGTGATAAGATCATGGGTAATTTTTATTATTTTTTCATTCTTTCCATTACTAGCATGTGTTATTTTTTTAAAAGGGAAAAGATATTAAGATACCTGATAGGGCTACTAGTAAAGAATTACTACCTGAAGGAAATCTTTGATTCCACTTGGAGCTTCACGCAACATCAAGCAGTCTATTACATGAAATCAAATTATAAGTGAAATTATGTAATCATGAGGTACTTTTGTTACTTCCAATATATGAATCCTACTTGCATAGTATCCAAGACAGAACCATGTCCTAACATATTCTATAACATGGTGAATTATGTTATTTTGAAGTTTTATACTATCTTTGTGAAGATGTTAAGTGCCAGTTTTATCTTTTACTTGAAAAGGCAATTGTATGACAAGTCATCTTTTCTGCTCTTATGGAAGACATGATGAAAATAACACAGAATATGGCAAAGCCAAGAAGTAGATAAGAAGTTGACTTTTGTGTTTCTTCTCCAGTTCCTATCCTCATATAACCATCTCAGCCATAAACTTAACACATTCTTAGACTTACTGTGGTATATGTTATTGCCACATTTTATATATATACAATTAGTGATCATTTTTTTGCTCAGATTTCTCAAATTATCATTTGTATGGAAATAACTTTTTTCCTTAGGATAAAGTTTGTGTTACATGCCTTAGTTTGTGTTACATATTACAAAGTTATTTAAATGTCTACAAAATTGTGATATCTAATATTTAGATATGAATTTAGATAAAGTACTACAAATTTAGACTAAATGTTTCTATCTTTTTAGACCAGAATTAGAAGAGGAACGAAATGCCCTTATTCTTCAGTCTGCAGCTAATAAGAAACAGCTAAAAGATATAGAGAAAAAAATTTTAGAAACACTGTCATCTTCAGAAGGGAACATTTTAGAAGATGAAAGTGCAATTAAAGTCTTAGACTCCGCTAAAATGATGTCCAATGAGATAACAAAGAAACAGCAGGTGAAAAAAGAATCCTAGCAAACTTTTTTAAAAAATGTTTTTATTTCTTTAAATTCAATTAGCCAAGGTATAGTACATCATTGGTTTTTGATATAATGTTCAGTAGGAATTCATCAATTCATTATAATACCCAGTGCTCATCATATCATGTGCTCTCCTTAATGCCCATCACCCAGTTACTCCATCCCCCACCCACCTCCCTTTCTGCAACCCTCAGTTTGTTTTCCAGAGTCGAGAGTCTCATATGATTTGTATCCCTCTCTGATTTCTTCCCATTCGGTTTCCCACTCCCACCCCTATTGTCCTCTGCTCTATTCCTTATGTTCCACATATGAGTGAAATTGTGTTTCTCTGATTGACTTATTTCACTTAGCATAATACCCTCCAGTTCCATCCACGTTGATGTAAATGGTAGATTTTCATCCTTTCTGATGGCTGAATAATAAATATTCCATTGTATATATGAACCACATCTTCTTTATCCATTCATCTGTTGAAGGACATCTTGGCTCCTTCCACAGTTTGGCTGTTGTGGACATTGCTGCTATGAACATTGGGGTGCATGTGCTCCTTCTTTTCACTACATCTGTATCTTTGGGGTAAATACCCCGTAGTGCAATTGCTGGGTTGTAGGGTAGCTCTATTTTTAACTTTCTGAGGAGCCTCCACATTGTTTCCCAAAGTGGCTGTACCAACTTGCATTCCCCCCAACAGTGTAAGAGGGCTCCCCTTTCTCCATATCCTCGCCAACATCTGTCATTTCCTGACTTGTTAATTGTCAACCTTTTGATTCTTTTTCAATTTGCTTCCAGTATAATTTTGGGGGAAGTTTGTTTGCAAAGAACAAAAGCCTATTCAAATTAGCTCAAATAAGAAAGAAACAAGGGCGGCATGAGGAATATAGCCAATGATATTATAATAGTGTCCTATACTGACAGATGGTAGTTACACTTGTGGTGAACATGGCATAACGTATACACTTGTCCGATCACTATGCTGTACACCTGAAACTAATGTAACATGGTGTGTCAACTATACTCAAATTTAAAAAAAGACATAGGGGGGCATTTTATTTTCCCAATTATGGAAATATATACAGGCCTCAAGAATAAATGGAAAGTTTCTATGCTCTTTGTCTGTCCCTCTCTAAGATTGGGTAGTCCTCATCTGTGCCTCTCTGCTCCATAAGAAGACCAGTTTCTTCTGTAAAACTACTGTATCTGTTCCTTCATACATTTGTCTTGCATGGTAGAAACCTAATTTGGTTCCGTTATCTTTTATTAGCAGTAGTGCCCAGTACCACTTGACTTCAGTTTCTGAGGTCTTAAAGTTCTAGTTCCCTGGGAGAAAAATTGGTTTAGCTTATCTTGGGTCCAGTTCTGTCTCTACCTCCTGATTGAATCAGCTACAACCAGGATCATTCAGTATAAACATGATACACAGGCACACTCATTCAGCAGTCTGTGCCTAGTGTGTCCAAAGAAAGAGAAGTGGTGGATAAATGCTCTACCCGTTTTTCCTATAGAATAGCTATCTCTCAGATCGAGTTGTCAGTTGAAGAGCTGCTCTCTTGGAGAATTTTTTTCTTTTGGGGTTGAATATTAACTAACACCCGTATTATATCCAGAAAAGTTAAACATATGAGGAACTAGTTGAAAAAGGTACTCTTAATGTATAACCCATCAGCTAAGAACTATTTCTGAATATCTACTTTACCAGACTTTGGGCTGGGTTCTGGTGGGCGTGTTGACACCTTAAACACACATGCACACATCCTTTCTCTCTCTTTCTCCGTCTCTCTGACCTATTAAAATAAAAGAAAATGAGTGACATTAGTAGACACATGTCAGATTCAGGCAAAGAATAAGCAAAGACTGACAGCTCTGGTATTCCCCAAAGAAGAAACACAACTTTAAACTATTTTTCATGCTTTATTTTCCTCCCTCTCTTCTTCTTCCTTCCCTCCCTAGTTCTTTCCTTCCTTTCCTTTCCTCTCCCTTTCCCTTTCCCTTTTTCTTTTTCTCATTCTTTCTTTTCTTTGTTTCTTTTTCTTTCTTTCTTTCTTTCTTTCTTTCTTTCTTTCTTTCTTTCTTTCTTTCCTTTCTTTTTTCTTTTCTTTTCTTTCTTTCTTTCTTTCTTTCTTTCTTTCTTTCTTTCTTTCTTTCT